GCATTGGCTATTGATATACTGATCTCTTGATCTGAGCTGGCTTGTCTTGGATGTTGGCAGCTTGGTCTTTCATCCAGTTACATACTTTAGCGAGACGGATTAGGGTCTGATCTAGGTCATGGTTGTGAGGCTGTTATATCTCTGGATTGTTTTCTCTTTAGGTTTGTCATACTACCCCGACTATGACCACTAGATCTTTCAATATATTTCCACCACAACTTAGTTTTGCGAGTGACATTTTGGGTATACAGGAATCCATAGTAACATATTTTCTGACCACATTTATTGCTGTCGATAATTTCCATGGTGGGGGGAAGGGGTAAAAATTATTTTTCAGTAAATACAAGTAGTGTTGAGGCACAGTGGTACCGAGCTCCGAGAGCTTTCCATTATTCACGTTTCCTACAGAGATACTAACTAGGAAGGTCTCAATGTGACCTTACGTCGAACACCTGGTCAAAATTTTTAACGGATTAGACATTTTTACTATGACTTTTTTTTCCTGAACTCGATGTGACACATCAAGGACAGTGGGTTCCAACGTAATGGTCGTTTGGAGTTAGATTTTATATTCAAACTAGAAACAAAGAATCACTTCATAATAGTGTACCCTAAGATGAGAAGATATCCGTGTAGGCATCCTAAAGATATTTCTAAACTATAATTTCTTCTTATTAATCATAACCATTTTAATGATCCTATATTTCTATGTAAATGAACGACATGCATTCAACTATCTTTTATTATTGATAGTGTTATTCCTACTAATACACTGCTAAAGTAAATATACAAATTTCCTGCTAGATATTCACAGCACAGTATTTTCAGTGCTGAATATACAGTAGCGCAAATACCTTAAACTCCACTTGTGAATTTATAGCCACCATACTACATTGTCTAAAATGTTTTAAAATGAGGATAGGTGTAGGGAGCCCCTATATGCTGGTTGATAATGTTTATTAAATGAATCCTCTGTTGCAAACGTTATATATTTACGTATACTGTTATTTGTACAGGTTTCATGCTGAGGTACTCGCATGCTTGATTTATTTGCACATATCCAGCTATGGGCGGTAGGGGATTAGTGGTATAAATGGGTCCAAAGATTTCGCCTTGGACTTGTTAAAACAACGAATTTCACCGTTTATTTTTAACTAGTCTACCTAGTTCTAACCACGCCACAGAAGTTCATAAAAAAATTCTAAGCATAATTCTGGGAAGGCTTGTGCTGGCTAGTGATGCCAGCACAAGCAAATGTCTTAGTATAAACAAAAACTCGACCTGCCACAGCCTGCTGGTGTGGTCGGGGTCCTCAATAAAATCGTGTCTGAGTCGTTAGTGGCTAACACGGGCTAGTAGTGGTCAAGATATATATGGGAGTCAGTCTTCTTTTTTAACGAAAAACTATAGCAGTACACTTTGCCTCTTTGGGGGTAGCAGTCGGGACACCCCTTCAAGTGACATTTGTGGTCGGTTCTCGACTAGACTTTTACGGGAGCCTTTATCTTAAATTTAATATACATGCTTTGTGGGGCATGAAACTTGCTGGTCTTATCCTCTCATTCTTGGGGCATAGGTTGCTAGGTCCTCCTCCACTTAGATGTAAGTTCCGCTACTGACTCGATAATTAATTAATATTAATTAATAATTAGTATTTTTATTTCTACAAGTACATGTACAAGGTATACAGGCCTACCCATACCACGGGTGGGGTTTGAACCCGCGGTCAGAGTCTCAAAACTCCACCCGTTGTATGGTTTGTTTGCAATCATGTCATTACGATTCCGTGAGTCGAGTTACACAGGCCTAGCTGACATGAATAACATACAACTGTACAGAAAACCGCTTGTTATTCAGAGCATTTCGGGCAATTTAAGTCAGTTTTGTCCCAGGATGCGACCCACATCAGTCGACTAACACCCAGGTACCCATTTTACTGATGGGGAACATAGACAACCGGTGTAAAGAAACACGCCCAATATTTCTACCCTCGCCGGGAATCGAACCCGGACAACTCAGTGTGTGAAGCGAGAGCTTTAGCCACCAGGTCACGGGGCACCGTAAGTGACTGCCAGGTCTACTGTTTGGTATGCCCTTCCCTCTTGTACATGCTGGACCTGATCCATCATCTGGGAACTTTGCTGTTTATTGGATATTTTGAACTTCCTGATGAATGGAGAACTCCAATTGGAGCTCACGAGGAGCTGGGCTTGCGCTACTTGTTTCGATTTTTGTGCTCGACTAGTAAGTCGGCTTATTTTACCTTTTAGGCGGCGAGAACTGGGTGTCCTCTTCCAAAGTGCTTCCATGCGAGCTTGTCTTCCTGGGTTGTTGCTTCGATATGATAATTACCTGCGAGATACGTTTTTCGTTTTCTTCCCTTCTTTTTCCCCCTAGACCCTTTCTGAGATCAGTTTCTGTAAACAGTGTCAGTAAGATATTTTAATTACCCACTTGATTTTCAAAAGGCCAAAAAAGTTGTATCAGGCACGTCCATGGTTGAGAGAAATATAATTGAATCAAGTTTCATAAAAATAGTATTGATTTTAATATATTAGCTCAGGGATACATAAATTAGGTTCATTTATAATTAATATAATTAGTAAAGAATTTAAGCTATGCCGGACATGTCACTCATAAATGTGAGAAATTACGAAGCGCTTGGAAATTCACTATTTTTTCCACAGTGGTTATTTTGCAAATTGTGATATCACCTGTTTACTGCGATCTTATTGCATATATATATATATATATATATATATATATATATATATATATATATATATATATATATATATATATATATATATATATTATTGTAACCACGAACGAGTGGTATTGATCAATAACAACACTGCACTAGCCAAGGATTCGAACCCATGTTGTACTGGCCTGCCTCATGGTAAGCGAGAACCACATGACGCTTTAAACCACAGGACCACCCAACCCTAAAAAGAATGGCGCAGCCAGCACACAGCTAGCTGTTGGGCCGCCATCCGAGGGCATACGGAGGTGTGGGAGCTTCTAAGCTAATTTCATTCTCATCCCTGTTGAGTGTACTAGCCTCACCAGCAGCATTTATATATTATTGTAACCCCGAACGAGTAGTATTGATCAATAGGGTTGGGTGGTCCTGTGGTTTAAAACGTCATGTGGTTCTCGTTTACCATGAGGCAGGCCAGTACAACATGGGTTCGAATCCTTGGCTAGCGCAGTGTTGTTATTGATCAATACCACTCGTTCATGGTTACAATAATATTATATATATATATATATATATATATATATATATATATATATATATATATATATATATATATATATATATATATATATATATATATATATATATAATGTCGTGCCGAATAGGCAGAACTTGCGATCTTGGCTTAAATAGCAACGCTCATCTTGCCATATAGGACAAGCTAAAATTTGTGTATGCAATAATTTCGCCAAAATCATTCTGAACCTAACGAAAAAAATATAATTCACTGTTTGTTTAGTATTAAATTATTGTAAACAAATCTAAAATATATTTAGTTGGGTTAGGCTAAAATAAATTGTTCTTGTTATAATAAGGTTAGGTAAGTTTTTTAAGATTCTTTTGGAGCAAAATTAAAAAAATTTACATTAACATTAATGAAAAAAATATATCTTTAAACGTATAAGAGAAAATTTTAGAAAGGTCTTAATTTTAAATGAGTTCTTGCTAATTGACGAATTTTACATATTCGGCACGACATATATATATATATATATATATATATATATAAATATATATATATATATATATATATTATATATATATATATATATATATATATATATATATATATATATATATATATATAAATGTTGTGCTGAATAGGTAAAACTGGTCATTAGGCAAGAATTCATTTAAAATTAAATCTTTTCTAAAAATTTCTCTTATACGTTTAAAGATTTTTTTTCATATAAGTTTATGTAAAAAATAATTTTGTATCAGAATAACATTAGAAAACTTCCCTAACCTTATTGTAACAACCTCAGTTTAATTTAATAATAAACAAACATAGTAAAATATGTTTTTGTCATTAGGTTCAGAATATTTTGCGAAATTATTGCATGCACAAATTTTCGCGTAAATATTTAAGCCAAAATCGCAAGTTTTACATATTCGGCACGACATTACATATTGTATATATATCTATATATAAGCAATATTGATTTCGCTTCCAACAATCACGAAACATATTTCTATACTTCTGACAGATATGAGTTATCGGGTTATCGTCTGGTCGATCTCTACAGATCCAGATTGGAAAATCCCAGTTCTCGACTTTTTTGTGGGCTTTTATCGCTGAAACTTTTCGTGATTGGTTTATTTTCTATACTCTGTAGTAGGCGTTGTTTATATTTACCTCATACAAAGGTTAAAAGCTTTTTACAGAAACGTATGCAAATATTATAATAGTGTATAAATGTTGGTAAATAAAGATGAGTATATAGGCGGCAACATGGGTGGACAAATATATTTACTGATACATGGCACCATGAAATATCATGACCAAACAACGACGGTAACAAGGTTACCGTACTAATACTCAAAATATGGAAAACACATTTACAAGTGAACGAAATGAAAGATCACATTGTTAGACACAAAAGTACTTTGCCACATTCGTATGTACGCGGTCGCTCGCTCGGGTGCACAAGCTGGTAAACGAACGTACTTAACGCACATGCAGAAACGCGAACAGTGGTACAGCTGTAAAGAAACATTGTCATATGCACACGGGAAAGGCGTCATTAGTCATTGTTGCTAAGCAAGATAAACTTAATATTGCGCATGTATTGTATTACCAGACATTCAGACAAATGACTAAACGCTAAAAACATTGATAGACACAACCACACAAGTAGACTTTTGCACATGATAATGATTGAAAAATTATATTAAATGTAGTGACGTGCAGCCAAGATGAAAACAGAGGTACAAACAGCGCAGCATTACAATACACCTCTTCCCCGCCATTTCACGGTGAGTTGCAGCTGCGCCCAGTTCTTACTCACTTATTGCGCATCCATCGGTGCGCAGTCTTTACTAATACAGGAAAGCCAGGGTATAAATAAGAGGCGCTGCGTTCAACTGGTTGTGATCCAGAAGTCTCTCAATCAATGGAAAACACAATTACGGAAGCCATAAATGCAGTATATGCGCCAAGACGAAGAACAGTACCTCGGTAGCTTACAACACTAGCTAAGCTTGCATGGGATTCAACATAAGTGACCAACACACTGAGGGATTGAAGAGTGTTGCTGAAAGTGTAAGCGACCACTGCGTTACTGTCACCATGCTGAAGGCACGAGACCTGCTGTACCATGACCCAGGCAAGTGTCGCTCATGTTTCACTCACAAGCTTACACTTGTTTGTTGTGTATATATATATATATATATATATATATATATATATATATATATATATATATATATATATATATATATAGGTCGTGCCTAATAGGTAAAACTGGTCAATTAGCAAGAACTCATTTAAAATTAAGTCCTTTCTAAAATTTTCTCTTATACGTTTAAATATATATTTTTTTCATTAATGTTAATGTAAAAATCTATAATTTTGCACCAAAAGAATCTTAGAAAACTTACCTAACCTTATTATAAGAAGCGCAATCTATTTTAGCCTAATCCAACTAAATATATTTTAGATACGTTTACAATAATTTAATAATAAACAAACAATGAAATACATTTTTTTTTTGGGGGGGGGGGTTCAGAACGATTTTTGCGAAATTACTGTATATACAAATTTTCGCTAGCCGCCTTCGGCAAGAAGAGCGTTGCTATTTAAGCCAAATTCGCAGGTTTTACCTATTCGGCACGACATATATATATATATATATATATATATATATATATATATATATATATATATATATATATATATATAATGTATTAATGTATGTATAATGTATGTATTGTGTGTATTTTTCGTTCTTAATAAGCCGAGTCAGTCAAATAAATTATGCATTTCGAGGACACTTTAAGCAGGTAAAATCTTTAACGACATTTGAAACACTCAGGTGCTTTACAAAGTACGCAACGAAGTCCTAAGTGTGGAATTGTAGTAAAATAAAGGTTTTTCCAGCTTAAATTATCTTTCAACAACCATTTGTCAGGTACCCTCAATCGCTTTTTTTATAAACATGTTTCTCTTATGGGTTAACAGATAGGCTGTGTTCACCTCGACATGGTATGCACTTTATATTTTCTTTTCCGGCCAAAGCTAACTTCCTTGCCTCACGTAATCTTGTTGAAATGTAGCCTTGAATTCAGTATCATGTAACATCAATAACGTACATTAATTTCGTGGTTCGCGAACTGATTTTCCACTGTGAGGGGCCTTCCACCTGGTAACATTGACACGTACGTCAGGGTTATTATTATTTATACAGCTCGTTTATTATTATTATTATTATTATTATTATTGTGAGGAACCGCTAAACCGGTAGTGTCTTGCAGCGAATAGGCAATTGGAGTTAGGTTTGATCCAGTAATTTAGAGACTGGCTCCAGTTCCTTGTGTCAAGAACCCTTCACCAACATCATTTGGATATAGACGCTGACTTGGTGCTTGCTGTCCTGGTGTACAAGTGTAGGGGTCACAGTGTCAGTGTAAATTCCACAGTCATGTGTTGCGGCCACAACGCCACTAACAAGTGAGGTCACAACGTCAGTACAAGTGTAACGGCCACACCGTTATAACGTCAGTATAAGTTGTGGCCACAACGTCATTACAAGTAGGGCCACACCATCACAACGTCAGTACAGGTGTAGGAGTCGCAACGTCAGTACAAGTGTAGGAGCCACAACGTCAGTACAAGTGTAGGAGCCACAGCGTCAGTACAAGTGTAGGAGCCACAGCGTCAGTACAAGTGTAGGAGCCACAGCGTCAGTACAAGTGTAGGAGCCACAGCGTCAGTACAAGTGTAGGAGCCACAGCGTCAGTACAAGTGTAGGAGCCACAGCGTCAGTACAAGTGTAGGAGCCACAACGTCAGTACAAGTGTAGGAGCCACAACGTCAGTACGAGTGTAGGAGCCACAGCGTCAGTACAAGTGTAGGAGCCACAGCGTCAGTACAAGTGTAGGAGCCACAGCGTCAGTACAAGTGTAGGAGCCACAACGTCAGTACAAGTGTAGGAGCCACAACGTCAGTACAAGTGTAGGAGCCACAACGTCAGTACAAGTGTAGGAGCCACAACGTCAGTACAAGTGTAGGAGCCACAACGTCAGTACAAGTGTAGGAGCCACAACGCCAGTACAAGTGTAGGAGCCACAACGTCAGTACAAGTGTAGGAGCCACAACGTCAGTACAAGTGTAGGAGCCACAACGTCAGTACAAGTGTAGGAGCCACAACGTCAGTACAAGTGTAGGAGCCACAACGTTAGTAAACTCATTCCATTATTTATGGCAGCATTTTTGTTTCTTGACTATCAACCATTTTTTTAATTCTAGTTGTATTGTCCTTGATTGCGCGATCTTGTACTTTCAGGTTTGATCTAATGCATGCAAGTTCTTCGAACAACTTTTATTAGTCCTCATTCATTACACTCGTCAATACTTTGTGTTCTTCATATTCGTAAATTGTGTTCTTTGTATTCGTAAATTGTGTTCATATTCGTAAATACATTTTTTAGGAATTTTTTTGATAACTATCAAATAAAGTAATCGTTGTTTTTTTCTTACCGTGTCTTAAAATGTCGTCTCTGCAAGTGTTTTATTGACGTATTAAGTACATGTCAATGAAACTCAATGCACTCAAAATTTTTTTAAAGAGATTCTCGAGTAATTTTCTACCGATACTGTTGACGGCACTTCATATAATCAGACTTGGTCAAGTTTTCCTGCTCATAAGGACGAAAATGTGACCAAGAAAGTCTACTTATACATTGCAGTGTTATAAAATAAAATAATGATTCAGTTATATTACTTGGGTCATACTTGGACGTTCAACATGGACACTATGGAACCGAAGCTAAAATAACAGCTTACTGTTAGGTTAACTGTACCTAAGATATACTTTATAATACATTATTTCGTCTACAGAGCGGGTAAAGGTACCTCTTCTGTCGACCAGAGGCAACAAATACGACACTAACGTCAGTGAGAATGTTAGTGATGACCGTCACAGCCAAAGCGAGGGAACACACTCGTCATATAAGCAGCAGGTTAATAAGGTCAACCACAAGCACCATGACCTCTTGTTGACTGACACCTTGCTGTCTTACTTGGCTATTAAAGGGTAATTAAGAATGTTATCTCAAAGATGATCTGAACTCAATAGCTGTGAACCTCTTCTAAATAATAATATAAAATCCTGAAATGTATTTGTCTAAATCGCCATTGTTCCTGTATAAATATAAATATCATAACATATGATACACATGAAGGAGGGGTGTTAATGTTGCAGTTTAAAAACTGTAGTGTAAAGCACCCTTCTGGCAAGACAGTGATGGAGTGAATGATGGTGAAAGTTTTTCTTTTTCGGGCCACCCTGCCTTGGTGGGAATTGGCCAGTGTGATAATAAAATAATAATAAAATGATACATTTTACATAAGATAAATGTTTTATTTAAAGTATGTGTTTTAATCTTTATCAGTTATTGAGAAAATAATACACTCGTACAAATGTGCAAACCTTTAGTAATATTTAATAAATAATTTACATAATTTTTAAAATGAGGGTAATGTTTGTATAATAAGAATTAGTACAGTGGTGACGTAACTCATTGTCTGGAGATAATATACAATAGCAAACTGGTTTGAGTCATTGCTTCCCTGATTGCTGAGATGGCAGTTCAGGCTGACAGATTCCAACACCTTGCACGAGCTTCATCCTGCGTGATGGAATATGAAAGGAAACATAGCTAGCTTTGGTTTTCACCGTGTGATTATTGTATAGAAGAGGGAAGCAGCAGCACTTCAGATGTAACCAGTTTTGTTAAATAATAAAGGTGCTGTCCAAATAAACTTTCGTCTAACTTGCTATCTTCCCTTAATCTATTGATAGCTATTCTAACCATATTAGCAAGAGGTATTGATTATTAATTAATACTTTTAATACGGAGGAGGCGGTTGTTGAGGTGATTTGAACATTTAGAGAAGGAAACAAAACAGAATGACTGGGACTGCATATAAATCAGGGGTGGATAGAAAGAGGGATAGGGGTTGTTCCAGGAAGGGTTGGAGGATCTGGGTAAAAGAGGCTTCGGGTGCTAGGGGCTTGGGCATCGAACAGGTTTATGTGAGCAAGTTAGGAGTGAGTGGAGGCAAATTTTTTTTTTTATGTTTTCAAGTACTGTTAAAGTAACATTTAAGAAGGGATTCAAGAAAATCGGTTAGCTGTACTTTTGCCCAAGAGATGGAAATTACAGTTCCTGAACTCTGAAAGGAGGGATGGGGATGTTGCAGTTCGGAGGGTCTTCTGATATGTGATGTCAGCACGCTTTTTGGAAAACAGCAAGTGTGTGAATAACTGTAAAACTGTTTTTTTCTTTTCTCGGATCATTCTACCTCGGTGGGAGACGGCCAGCGTGTTAAAAAGTTTAATACTGTTTGCAAGAAAGACTGCAAATACTATCCTTTAGTAGGACATGTTGGCTTGAAAAAATTCAGCGAAATATCCAACAAAACAGCTAATCTGTTTTAGCGTGGCCCAGCTTCCGAACCTACTACTGGCCTACCTGTGCATTGTCTAGTAGAGCGTCAGCTCCTGGTTTCCTTACCTACCTGTGCTTAATATTGAGCTCCACTTTTTTTTTTCATTCACAGTTCTTATGGGGTATTCTCAACTTTCCTTCCCTGTTTCAGACAGCTGTTTACAATTTTTTTAAAAGCACTGTTATTTCTTACTTTATCCTTAGAATACTACTTATGTTCCTCAGATTCTGAATCTATACTACTTCATTTCGGATTCGTATATACACGCCTTTTCCCCTTCCTACAAACCAGGACTCTCAGTGGAACAACGACGTTCCTTCTCTGACTTCCTTCTCATGTTTTGCACGAGTTTTCTTTTTTTAAGTCACATGCAAAGTATTTAAATCTCAGCACCTTCCAGTACATTTTCACTCCGTCAAGGCATGAATATAAGTGAAGAGTTTGCGCGTAATGTACAAGACTAAATGATGTAGAGAGTATTACAATGAAATTAGGCACTAAGCCCATAAGGATCATATAGCTTTGCAGTACAGTATATCAGGCTTGATATATGCAGCTATCACACTTCTAGCAAAAAAAAAAATACTGTTGAATTAAATGTTTTGTAAATGTGAGCGAACTAGGTAACTGGCGCCATCATAACGCCATCTATTCATTGCTTACATTGTTACGCCGGTGTAATTATACACTTACGTGAATGAAAGAAATAGCGTGATTGCAAATATGTAAACAATACCACAGTGAAATTAGGAAATAATACCTGAGCACTTTCATGTATTTACGCACACATCTTTAGAAGAATTGGAAGAAAAGGCAAGAGAAGCACATTTTAAATGTTAAACATTTAGGTGACGCCTCACTCAGAGAAGATGACACCACCACACACAAACCTGTCCCATAAGTGTATCTTTTTCTTATTTATCTGGTCTGATTATAACACAAAGTTGGCAATCCTGTAAGACCAATCACAAGTTCTGTAAGTTTTTCAATCTATAGATTAACTAAATGTTAGTGAAAATATTAACCCCTATTGTACCGTTTCTTCTCATGTTAAAAAAAGTTGATCTCATTGGTAAATCTCTAGGTTTTAATGTCTAATGATTGCAGACTCATTAATTTTGATGTTACTTCGTTGTTTACTAAAGTACCGGTATATGATCTGTTAGATTTTATTACAGAAGACCTTGCAAAATATAATCTTCTCTTAAACATTAATCAGATTATCAGTTTGAATAAATTGTGCATTATGGATTATAAATTTGTTTTCAATGACAAATTCTACTTACAGGATTTTGGTTCGAGTAATTTGTAAATGGAGTATTTTAAGTCCAACATAGTAAAAAAAATCCTTCCTTCTGTCTGTGGCCTTATAATGAGAGTCCTGATGACTCTGCCTAGATTAAACTCACTGGTCCCTTCCATTAAGTTCACTAAGGAAAGCGAGGTAAACGGAATAATTCCATTTCTGAATATAGATATTCAGTATTAAAAGATCTGGTAAAACATTTAAGTTTAATGTTTATCGCAAACCTACAAACACATGCTCATACATATATTACTATTCAAGCCATCAAACACATATTAGAGAGTATTTACTTCTATGTTTTTTGAGAGCCCTTAGAATTTTTAGCCCTGAATTCTATGGTGGGGAGATTAGAAAAATCTATGAAATTGCTTCTGATAAAGCTTTTTATAAATCTAAGAAAACATTTTACAAGGCAGAGCTTAATACCTCCCACGTACTCTTGAATACTTTAATGTTAATGTTATCTTTACATATGACAATGATTAAAAATTCTCCCAAGGAGTCTTTGGGTTGTGTATACTCCATTCCTTGTGTAAGTTGTGATACCTTTATTTAGGACAAGCTGGCAAATCTCTTGAGACCAGAGTTAAACATAAATATGCAATATCTATGAACATGCCATTGTGCAGATTGGAAAAATGCCAAAGAATTAATTCCATGTCATTCTACTGTTCTTATTAAGCATGATGAACAACGTATTTCAAATCTGAGTTCTGGTATCTATAAACTTAATAGTTTTGTAGTCCAGAATATTGTTCATAATCTTAAAAATTAAAAATGTTTTTAATCATACGAACAATTTGACTTCTTGTTGGACAAATGTATGCTGGGACAGGTTTGTATGAGGTGTTGTCACTTTTGAGCGAGGTGTCACCTTAATGTTTAACATTTAAAATATGCTTCTCTTGCCTCTTCTTCATATTCCTCTGAAGATGTGTGTGTAAGCAAATGAAACCGCTCAAGCTTTATTTCATATATTCACCGAGGTATTTTTACACACACACACACACACACACACACACACACACACACACACACACACACACACACACACACACACAAGCACACTAACAAACAATAGGCCAAGTGTCTTAGTGACAGATGCCTTGAACAAATGGTAACACACACACACATACATATAAGATAAGATTTTCTTCGGAATTTTAATCCCGGAGGGTTAGCCACCCAGGATATCTCAACAAAGTCAGTGCGTCATAGAGGACTGTAACTTATTTCCACTAGGGTCCTCAATCTAGTCCCCAGGATGCGACCCACACCAGTCGACTAGGTGAACAGGACAAGAGGTGTCAGGAAACGCGTCCAAATGTTTCCACCTCCGGAATCGAACCCGGGCCCTCCGTGTGTGAAGTGAGAGCTTTCAACAAACCGGCCGTATCCCACCGAAGCAGGGTGGCCCAAAAAGAAAAACAAAAGTTTATCTTTTTAACTTTAGTAATATTGATTATCAAATGGTATACAATACCGACAGGTTGGTAGATAAGACACATAGGCAACATTTAGGCAACTCTGTCAGACACTGCAACACAAGGGCATCTTGGTACAGAAGAGAAAACACCTTGGACAACTTTTTCAAGTGAGAACTGTTTGATCTGAGAGGGACGTGACCTCTCAGTGGCTACATTCTCACTACAACTACTCTGCACCTCTCCTTCCGACAGTATTTAAGTCTCAACACTGTTGCTTGATCTTCAGTTAGTTCCAGACTTTGGAACAGAACTTCTCCAGGCTGAGGGACTGACAACCTCAAATCTACGACTTCAAGGGTGATGGACTGATTACATCGTCTTCACATCTCTACTGCTCCTGCCTACTTTCTGTACTCGACTGAAGAAGCCTACTGTGTAGGCGAAACTTTTCGGAATAAAGTTGTCTAAATGTTGCCTATGTGTCTTATTTAGTAATATTAACAGGAGGAGGAGTTACTAGCCCCTTGCTCCCGGCATTTTAGTCGCCTCTTACGACACACATGGCTTACTGGGGAAGAATTCTGTTCCACTTCCCCACGGAGATAAGAAATAAACAAGAACAAGAACTAGTAAGAAAATAGAAGAAAACGCAGAGGGGTGTGTATGTATATGCTTGTATCTACATGTGTAGTGTGAACTAAGTGTCAGAAGAAGTAGCAAGACGTACCTGGAATTTTGCATGTATATGAGACCAGAAAAAAGACACCAGTCCTACCATCATGTAAAACAATTACAGGCTTTTGTTTTACACTCACTTGGCAGGACGGTAGTACCTCCCTGGGTGGTTGCTATCAACGTACTACACACACACACACACACACACACACACACACACACACACACACACACACACACACACACACACACATA